AATTCTCTCTGTCCTCCTCTCCAATCCCCTACTTTAGGTAAGATCTTAAGCATTTCTCACGTGGTTTACTGCACCTGCCTCCTCATGAAATCCTTCCAGTAGCTCCCAATCCTCTTAACATGGCCTAAGGCGCCTGATACAGTCCACCTACCTCTCTTTTCTCTCTCTTAAGCCTCTTGTCTAGAGGCTTTCCTAACTACTTAAGGGCTTGTAGTTCATTAAAATCCCTGCTTTTTCATCTCCCCATATGCCTTCACACATCCAGAATCTTCTGCCTAGACTATCTTTTTTGTATCTCTTTCTTTGGCTAACTGCTACTTGTCCTAAAAATTCTCAGCACAGATACCTTCTAAAAAGCAATCCCTAATAATTCCCCATTTTCAATTCAAGCTTGGGCTAGATGAGAATCTAATATACCTTGTAGCAACCCACGTCTGACCGTTATGGCATTTTATATTGTGAGCACTAATTTCTGTATCTTTCCAATTGTGTCTCTGTGTATGTGTGCATGTGTGTGTGTATGTGTGCGTGTGTGTGTGTGTGCGCATGTGTATGTGTGTGTGTCTGTGTGTATGTCTGCATATGTACTAGTTGTTTTCAGCCCAACCCTGAAGGCTTTACCAGAATCTGTGTGAGAGGAGGCATGTGGCATTTGGAAAGGTTTCCCAGGTGATTCCCATCCAATTTTTCCCTGTTGTGAGGGACAGGTTTTAGTGGGGGAGAGACATCCCCAGCACCTAGCACAGAACTTGACACATCATTGGTGACCATTATATGTTTGATACTGATGGTGACAAAGGCTGCTGGAGTGAGAGGTCTGTTTTTCCTTCAGTAGATATCATGAGTAGACATTTCACGTTTATAAGTAGGAGCTCAACATAATAGAGTAATACATTAAGAAATTAGGTTGGTTTATATATGTCACACTGAATCCTGGACAAGAGATTGCAGAATTTGCAAAGGATATGGGACTACCAGTGAAACTGCCCAGAATGACTTTCAGACAGCAGCTAGAAACACAGACAGTCTTTATGAGGCTCTTGGGGGAAGGACCTAAAAGGTCATCTCTATGCTAGATAGTGGCATAATTGCCCAGTGCTCTTCAGCCAGATATCTGAGAACTCTTCTGCCTGACACAGCCAGGTTTGGTTCTGGATATGGGGGTCCTGACTGGAGGAGCATGCTATGAGTTTGGGAGAACTATTTCTCGGCTCAATTTAGTCTGGCGTAATATTGTTCACAGGAGGGGACTCGTTTTAGCCTGGGTCAGTTCCTGACTTACCTACTTCCAGACTGATTCTTGTGCATGGCATCAACGACCAAATTCTATGCAAGAGTGAACATACCAACACCTCCCACAGCATTCATTAAGTCAGAATTTTGGAAAAGGTGAGACTGTCTTTCAGGCTTAATTTATTTCTGTTGATTTGTTTTGTTTGATAACAGCATACATTTAGAAGATGCTTGTTCTTCACTTTCCAATCTCCTTTTAGCCTTTGTCAATAACCTTGCAGGCTCCCCACAGGTGGTTCCATTTGTAATCCATTTGACACAGCGAGACTATCATAATTAATGAAGCTCCCTACAGCACTGCCAGTGACCTAGAATGTAGGACAGGAGGGGTGCTGAAGCAGTGGAAAGAATAGCGGGCCGAGAGCCAGGAGATCTGGCCCTTGTCTGCAGCCTGTGGCGGAACTCAGCTGCGCAAGGGTGGCTCGTTCTTTTGTGCATCTCTTTGCCTCTAGTCTTAAACTGGATGGATGGGAAAGAAAAGACTGTCTAAAAATGAAGGCATAATCACTAACCATTAAAATTCCTGCCCTTGGCCACCTTCCTTTCTTACATAAGAAAGTTGATTTAAAGTAAACTGTTGTTGAGTCCACTGAAAGTTGATTTAAAGTAAACTGTTGTTGAGTCCACTGAAAGTTGATTTAAAGTAAACTGCTGTTGAATCGAGTTTTGACTGTAGTAGAAAGAGGAGAAGGTAGGATTAAATCTTTAAATGCTGAATAAACATGGAACTGTTTTGGAGTTGAAGGCTGAGAAGGAGCCTGGAGAATAGGGGACTCAGCAGCATTTTTACAGGTCAGGGGTTGAGATGGAAAAAATGGGGACCAGGAGTGGTAACTTTTATCTTTTTTCTCATTTAAAGACCCATGTAAATAGAATAAAAAGAGAAAAGAAATAAGCAGTTAGAAAACAGATGGCTTTCTATAATGGTTTTCATCCCATTAGAATCATGTTTTGACAATAAGGTCCTGCAGAAAAGAACTGGAATACTTTTCTCCACATTTTACCCTGCACCATTTTCTGCGCATATTAACCTAGACCTGTATAATAAATAAACCACCTGAAAAGAATTCCAGGAAGGAATTGGGGAAGCCTCTATGGTCTATCTCAGTCTACGTAGAAAGAAGAATCTATGATTTCTTCATTAAAGGTGCCATATGCATCTGTCAAAATGTTCCCAGAGAGACTCGTCAGGTTCCCTCTGGATCCTCCAGTTCAGACACAGTCCCCTTCCCCAAAGGTCAGCTAAGTAGGCTGTGAGGTCATGTTAAACACATACAGAACAGAGATGTATTGTCGCATGTGAAGGGTTCCCATTTCTCCCCTCAGGGAAGAAGCTCAAATTTCCCATAATCCTTTACTTCAGTTATTTCTGATTATTAAAATCCTACTGCACCACTTCCTTCTGAATAAGTTCTTGCATCACCTTTCTAGCATTTTGCTTTTTATTTCCCAGATAGATCCAAGGTTCAAGTCCTGGGTATAATTTATTTTGAGGACTATTCCCTTTTCAGTCATGTTTTCACTCACGATATCAACCTTCAATTATTATTATTATATTTTAAAATGTTATTACAATTCTAATTTTTTTCTGTGTGTATGAAGGTGATACAAAGTCACATAAAATATTTATATGATATTCTTTATGATTAGAAATTACCTAACTAAATAAAACAAAATTTCTGTCTATTAACAAACAGTCAAAAACTGCTGGATGAATGATCACTAAATGGGGAGGGAATGTTTAGGATGATGTGATTTAAAATATAATGGTTTTCATCCCGTTAGAGTCATGTTTTGACAATAAGATCCTAAAGAAATTCAGACTGGGGGGCCCTGGGCAGCCATCCTCCTGGAAAGCTGAATGTGAAGGAGGGCGAGAGGCCAGGGTACTACTGTTGAAGGAGGCTTGCCAAACCTATGAAGACACTGAGGACAGCTTCAGACTTGAGCTGCAGATCTAAAGTCCCAGGGCCAATGCTTTGAATTGCAGGCTCAAGACCAGCCTCACATGTACACTACACATGGTCTGTTGCAGAGTGAGTGGTAGCAGGGATTCCTGTATTTGATGGTGATTTGGGGTTCTCTTGAGCAAAGCTGGGTTGACCAGATTGTAAATAATAATAATGACAGTGACAACAATAATAATAACAAAGCATTTGTCAAGTGTTTGCTCTCTAAGTTTGGTAGTAGGCATATGACACATTGCTTCATTTAATCCCCACAAGAAACTTCTGAAGTAGGTGATACTATTATCCCCTTTGCAGGGATGAGGAAATACATTTGCAGAAGTTAAACAGTTTGTTCCCGGGTGCAAAGCTGCACGGTGGCAGAGACAGCATTTGAACCCACGGTTAGCCTTAATTCAAAGCCCTTGGTTCTAAACACTGTGCTTATTTCTGGCAACAATCTTCCATGTAGTGGTCAGAGCAGTCACTCATCACTACAGCATGTTTTCCACTTTCTTAAAATATTACACCTGTGGCTCAAGCCAGTTGGCCTTGGTGAGCAGCCCCTTCAGGGGATGTTCTGAGTTATCTGATGTGCTGTAGCCCCTGCTTATTTTCTGACCTCCACCCCTGTGCAGCTCAGGCCACACTACTCCTCAGCCTCTTCATCTGGTGTTCTCACTTCCACCCCTCCACCTTCTGCTGAGCTGCTCCTGGAGCCAAGAGGAGCCTCCAGCTCCACTGCCAAATCCACCTCCTCCTCCTCCTTGCTTCAAGGCAAGTGGCACCCTGTCTTCCCTCCCATCAGGCTTTGCTCAGTGAAAACAAGAGGAGTTTCTTTCTTGCCTCCTAGAAGCCTTTATTCACCTCTTGTACCACTCTCTGAAGTTGATACTTCACCTATGGCTGCTCCAGCCATGTATGCTTAATGTAAGTGCTTATTATTGGTCCTGTCAATCTCTGGGGCTGCGAAGGTAGGTGCAGATTTAACAAACATCCATTGTTTGTGACAGGTGTTATTCTACTATGTCCCAATGCTCCAGATACTGAGGATACAATAGTTTCAAAGGCATGCAGAGGACTTTCCCTCATTCTAGCCCTCTCATTTCTGTGTTAGGGCATACACTCCCACAGGATAGTTCTGGAGACAGACTGCCTGAATTCACATCCCAGCTTTTCTACTTACAGCCTGTGTGACCTTGGCCAAGTTAGCTAACCTTTCTGTGCACCAGTTTTTAGTAAATTGGGAAACACTAATAGCATTTCCCTCAAAGTTGTTTAGAATTAAATAAGTTAATACATATATTGAGAAATATTAATATGTACTGAGAACTTACAGCATGCCACGATTCAAAATACATTCAAAGTATTTTGAATAGTGGCATGCTGTAAGTTCTCAATATATGTTAATTTTTTGGATTACTTTTTAAAGATAATTACACAAGTGGGTGGCAGAGATCTTCCTTTGAAAGTGTTCTTAAGTCTCTTGCTGTGCCTGCAATGGTGCTTTCCACAGTGAGTAACAGGGCCAGTGGAGGAAGAGTTTATTTTAAGGTCAGAATGTATCTCGGGCCCCCTCAGAGCAAGCTGTGTTCACCAGAGTCTCTAGCCTCATTTTGATATCTATTTGAGGAAAGACAAATGAATACTCAATGTCTTTTACTGTTTGTGTAAGACACATGCTTTAATTTCCACGAAACAATTCCCAAGGTTTTCCCATCAAAAACATCCTCTGCCTCAAAGAGAAATGACAAGACTTACCTTGATTTTTCAGTGGTAAAGGCATAGTTTCCCTGAGTTTGCTTAAAAGGTTTTTCATTTCTCGCATGTCTCTGTAAAGTTGATAAAAAGACAGAATAATCAGTTGTAAATTTTCAAAACGAAATCTCAAACAATCTGTTCTATGAGACAACTGAAGGATGAGAGTCTGTGTCTAATTGTACTAGCTCTAGTTTGCACTAGGCAAATATTGAATTTATTTTGCTTTTACAAGAAAAAAAAATCTGAGATGGGTTGGCTCAGGAAAAAATGAGAGCTACTCTGCCAAACATTTCTACAGGGCATTCTTCTGTAGGAGCCCTCATCTCTGCCTCTAGTCTGACCTGGCTGAGATCAGAGAAGAGCCATTGGTCACGAGGACAGTGCTTTAGATTTATAAAGAGAGGCCAAGGGTGTACAACTGGAGCAACAGGGCAAACTTGAGGAATGGGTGATGGTGCTATCCAGGCTTTATGGTCAGAGGACTATAGTGGCTGTGTATATTCACTTGCTGTTATTTGCTTGTTTTTCAAAATTTGTATAAATTTAAGGGGTACAACTGTAGTTTTGTAACCTTGACATATTGCATAGTGGTGAAGTCTGTGTTTTCTGTGCATCCATCACCCCAATAATGTGCATTTTACCCACTGAGTATTTTCTCATCACCCATACCTTATCACCCTTCTGAGTCTCTGATGTCTATCATTCCATACCCCATGTCCATGTGTACCCACCATTTAGCTTCTACTTATAAGTGGGAAATTGTGCTATTTGGTTTTCTAAGTTGCTTCACTGAAGACAATGGGCTCCAATTCCATCTTCTGCTTGGTTTTAAAAGTCTCTTATTACCATGATTAGAATTCAGTGTAACTCAGGTATTAAGCATTCACCAGGGCCAACACTTATTAAATTGACTTGGAATAACAAAAGAGTAACAAATTCTAAAACTTCCAGAGAAGAACTCCTTACAATGGCTGAAACAGAAGGGGGTGCAGTATGAGAAAGAGAGGGAAAACCACCCCACCTGGGGACAGCTGGGCCTTCCTCTAGCAGGGACCCGTCCCTCCACACTTCCTGACTTCAGCTTACAGCATGCCGTGCCACTGCACACATCCAATATCTTCCCTCATCTCAGAGCATACGTGGTCATAAAACTCCCAAACTGTAAAGCAGGAAGCCATCTCAGGAGGCTTCTAGTCTAAGGTAGGGGAGAACTGACCTTGTGAAACCCTTGGTACAATGGTTCCTACCCATGTCCAGGTAGTTGTGCATTGAAGACAGTGCACTTGAAACCACAGGATGCAGTGGCAGATTTCATTTAAAACAGCCAGGAACATAATTTGGTACAAAAAGCAGATGCATCTTTTAATTAACTGAGGATAGGTAAGCACTGGCAGGTACCATGGGTTTAGGAAAGTTTTGTGGGGAAGATCATCCTAAAGTTGAAGAAATTGTACTCATTTATTTTTCTTCTGGCATTTGAGGAAAGACAGTCACCATTTAATTTTAGGTATGAAACCCTTCAGTCCGCTTCACAAAACACTACTGTTCTGTTGAGCACGGTTTGAGGACCACTTTCTTAGGGTAATTCTGGAGACCTCATGGGGGCTCCTTTTCAAGTATTGACTGATATGTGAGGAGTAACTCAAGTCTCAGTAATAAGTGATTGGGAAAAAAAAGGGAAAGCAGCCTTGAGGATCTGCAGAAATATACCTGTAAAAACATTCCGGCTGGGTGCGGTGGCTCACACCTGTAATCCCAGCACTCTGGGAGCCCAAGGTGGGTGGATCATGAGGTCAGGAGATCGAGACCATCCTGGCCAACATGGTGAACTCCTGTCTCTACTAAAAATACAAAAAAACTTAGCTGGGCATGGTGGTGCACGCCTGTAGTCCCAGCTACTTGGGAGGCTGAGGCAGGAAAATTACTTGAACCCAGTACGTGGAGATTGCAGTGAGCCAAGATTGTGCCACTGCACTATAGCCTGGATGACAATGCGAGACTCCGTCTCAAAAAACAAAAAACAGACCATTCCAAATCCACTCCCATGGGTGTGAGGTGTGAGGATGTGTCTATGGGCTGCATGCTGATCAGGTGAGAGAGGAGGGCAGGAGAAAGGAAACAGGGCCCCACGTCCACAAATGCAAAGCACAGTCTGTTTTCATTTAAGATTTCAAAGGCAGTTGGAATGGGTGAGAAAGGGCTAGGAATGCAACATGGGGGATTGAGGCAAGGTCTCCTCTAATAAAGCACCCATTCTCCACCTTGGCTGTGCACAGGAGAATCACCTTAAGCCCAGGTCCCACCCCAACAGAGTCTGATTCAGTTGCCTTATAGTGGCACCAAGCGATCAGTATTTTAAACATTCCCTCATGATGACTTAACTGTATAGCCCAGTTTGAGACCCATAATCTCTCAAGGCAGAGAGCCAAGGAGAACTGAGTTAGCCACATCCCAGACCAGGTCCACTGTGCCTACTTCCATTTCCTTTGACCAGAATCTGGGCTTTCAGGCTGAACTGAACCATTGCCAACACTGGGCCATAACTATCCTACTCTTACCACCAACCCTTCTTATAAGCTTATAAGGCTTAGATACAGCTGCTGTCCAAGGTTTGCAAAGGAAAATGGCTTCGCTGATGGTTTATGCCCTGATACGGCATTTCAGCAGATATATTTTTTTTTCCTAAGAACAGAGCTCAGAATTTTCTATTTTATAAATTAAGATAAATCAGTCCCTCATCATTTGTCTATAGTGCAATCAAACTGTGCCAAACAGCTTTATTGTTTGAATTGTTGTATTCCAAGCTTATACAAAATCCAAGTTTTATTAATAGCACATAATTACCACATGTTCCAATTTTCTATAAACATAGAAATTTGGTAATTAGCTTTAGAATTATATTACAATCTGAAAGTAGAACCACAATGGCTATAAATGCCATTGTGTGTTATATTTCTAAAAATAAAAAAAATAAAATGTTCATTATCTTGTCAGTGACTCAACCTCATACACACAGAACACTCAGTAGAACTGCCCAGTATTCATTTAGCTGCTTGGTGCGAGCTCTGGGGACATTAGTAGCAAAGGGCACAGATATCAGTGTAAAGGCAAATAAACAAGAGCCTTATCTTACTGCCTCACAAAATGTCATTTTTAGCATCTAGATAGGAAAAGGTATTTATTATAATATTATTATTACTCTCTTTTCCGAAATAAAACAAAATTACTGTAGAGTCTCTTCTTTTCAGGAAATAAACTGCCTCTCTAGAAGTGAGCTACTGAAGTTAAGACAATGAATTAACTTGCTTTGACCACTGAGGGGCCACCAGCCACCTTATGGAGAGTAAGGGAAGGGAGCCCTGGGAAAAGCCCTTTGTGAAATGGACAGAAGGTTTAGCCCCCGAATGGCAGCTAAGCAGCCTGTTCCATATACCTGAAATCTGAGACTCTACTGGAGGCATCTTTGTGTAATTTTGGATTTTCTCCCTTAAACAAATGGGAATTTTGGGCACCAGCCCAGTAGGTGAACTGTGACAACATGTAGACTTTCTCCCCTCCAAGGCAGCACACTGTTCTCATTTTCCACAGAGATACAATGTGTTGGAGTGGGAGAAGCAGAGGCCTGGGAGCCTGCGCCTACTGTGGGTGCTGCTAGTGTTCCTCCGCAGGATTTGGACTGCTTACCCTCTCTTGTCTCAGTTTTCTTGTCTGCAGATTAGGCAGTCTTCAGGGTCCCTGCCAGCACTCTGCTCCTCTGGCACACCAAAGAAAGCCCTGTTTTTGAGTCTGAACTAGAAAACCTTGTCTCTCTGTGGCTCCTAAGAGCATTAGCTGGAGGAGGATTGGCAGCCTATTCAGGGTAACTTCCCACTTACCTTTCAGTGTTCTCAATGTCTGTGGAAACCTGCCAGGAATGTTGCTGACTATCTATGGGGGATGATGAGGAGTCTTCTAGGGCAGGTGTTTCAGCACTTTCCTCAATTTTGCAATCCAAACTCTTGGTTCCCCCACCAAGTTCCTTTCCTAAGAGAGGGAGGGTGTTGGTAAAGAGAAGAGGAATAAAAACTCATAAATGCAGGTTCTATACACAGGATGTCATTGCAAAGGTTGGCTATACATTGAGTCAAATGCTCCATTAGCCCTCACAACTTTCTTAGTAATAAAATAATTATATATACATGTATGAGTGTGTGTGTTTGTGGGTGTATGTATGGCATGTCTTCACAACATTCTGGAAAGACAGCATGAGGTCAGTGCAACCTAAAGATCAAGATAAAATTAAGGCCTCTGTCTTTGGTAGAGTATTAGTGTTTTATATCCCATTCTTAGTGAATTAGATTAAGTTAGCTCAGGAGGAGGAAATTAGCTTGTGAAATCTACTGGCTTTTAGTGCTTCGATGCAGGGGCAGGTAAAAGGGCCAGGAACAGGTGACACCCAGCAGAAAGAATGAGAGCCCCTGCTGTTTTCTCTGATTCTAAACACTGGCCCTCTCAGCTTGCAGCAGGGATCATGCAGCTGCCTTCCAATTCCTTGGCTCTCCAGTCTCCTTCAGCACATCTTCTATGAGAAGAGAGCCCGACCTTGATTCAGCCTTACACTGCTGAGACCATAAAGCACCATCAACTCAAGTGTGAACATCATGTGCTGGGTAGCCGTCCACAGCAATGCACTGCGTACCCACTAAGACTTGTATTTACCATGATTGACCTCAAGTGAATAAATCAGTACTTTCTAGAAACAAATCTTCAAACTGGTTCAGCCATAAATTTATATGAAATTACATAGAAAGTTGTGGTCTATGGCCTAGGCATAATCTCTGAATGTCTTTTATTCTTTTTTGAAAATCTGTGCATTCACAGGGGGTATCCTAGTACCATGGAAATGGTCAATGAGGCCTGAGAACTGAATTTTAAACCTGGCTTAATCATTTGTTCATTCACTCACTCATTCATTCATTTATTTACAAATATATCTTGAGTGTCAGCTACCAGCACTGGGATTGATGCTAGAGATAAAGAGGTGAAAGAAAGTGTCTCAGGAGCTTACAGTGCTAGAGTTAAACAACAAAAACATTATACAAATAATTACAAAGCTGTTGTATAACATTATGTAGTCTGGAAAAAGGATAACTATTATATATAGTTTTTTCTTCCTTTATCCAGTTTTATTTTTATCATGTAGATATAACTCCAGACTAGTTGTTAAGCAACTCTTACAGCCCGTATCATTTAACATTCTTGAGGCCGTGGCTGTATCAGCTCACCTCTTAGCTCAGTTTTCCTAATCCTGCTGTGATTGTTTTGCATTAACAAGAAAACTAACGAAAAAATGAAACATACAAACTTGTGAAGAGGATGGCTGCTCACGATAAGATCTAACAGGAAGTTTTTTCCTTGGATTCCTGCTGGAGGGAAGTAGCAAAAATCTCATCCTGCAGTTTCTAACCCATGTGGTAATAGCACAAGGAGAAAGAGCGAAGCAATTAATTGGTTGTATGCCTTTCACCAACCTATAGTAGAAATCAACCTCTGGACATTCAGCTAGAGCACATGTACAAGTTTACTGATGAGAAATTTTGATCCTTTCTTGTGTGCTTTATGCACATTGATCCTGGATGATGGGACTTGCCTGAGGAATTGTTTTTCCAATTTTATGGTATGCTCTTGCAGGGATGTTAATTAAGCACATAATTTAGCACATTACCATTTCACAGTTGGAGGGCATTGACCTCTTAAAAGCATTTGCATTTTGCCTCCTGGCAGAGTACGGCAACTGCAGTGAGTCTACCAGCCACATATCTCTAGGCAGGGTCAGCCTTAGGATGTGAGTCTGAGCAGGGGTAGCTAAGGGGAGGGGGCAAAAACAGGGCTCCCCAAAACAGTCCTCTGCTTTTCAAAACCTGAAGGCTTCTGTTACACTCCTGTGGGTTGGAAATGCCTTGGGGAATGGATTATGATTTGGGCATCAAAGAGGAGGAGGGGAAGAAGATTCACCAGAATTCTCTGGTTCATGGGCTTTGGGGCCATATTATTCCCTGTCCTGTGGTCCAGGATAAGAGCCTGAAGCTTTTATCCCAATGGAGACAAGGGAGGACAGTGGGAAATGTGATATTCCTGGTTGGAGTCCTCTCTCCACCTCCCTCATATTAAACCTTTTACATGCAAAGCCATAAATGGAATCTAGTTGACAAACTTTTGATTATACTTAACACCTGCGATTATTCTGCTACTTACAAGACAAATGCCTTTCCGTAACTTTTTCAAAGTAAAGCATCATTTTAAGGATTTCAAAGATCCTGAAACAGCCCTATGGGCTTGTGAAGGGAGGTAATAACCTACTTTTCCTATTTTCAGTGACTTTTAGATCTAACTCTGCTAAAGTAGCTGAACCAGAATGGAAACCATGAATGTTGGCCCTCAGTTTAGGGGTTTCTGTGAGCTCAAAAAATCTCAGCAGAAGTTTGATATAGTATCTTCTTAGCTAACATGCCTTAAAAGATAGAAAAGATCAATATGGATTTAAAAGGTTTTCAATTCCGGAATGTATGTGGTGTCATGTTTACTCTGCAAGTGAAGTATAATTGCTCTCATTTACCAATAGTACTGGACTTTATGTTAGGATCCCTTTTCACCACATTACCTGTTTATTGCCTTCATAGAAAGATCCTCTATCAGAAATGATCTTGCTTATGTATTTGGTTACTAGTTTATTGTTTGCCATTCCCAGCCCCACATTCATCTCTCACCTCCAAACTTTGTAGATAAACTCTGTAAAGTCAATAATTATACCTGTCTTCTTCAATTCTGTAAGTCTACTGCAAAAGACCAAGGCTTACACACAGTAGGATCTCAATAGACACACAGCATTAAAATATGTAATTATACTATATATGTTACACAATCTGCTTTGCTACTGTAGTCCGGCTTAGAGATATTTTAATGTTAGTGCATTTTAATTTATGGAATGCTTTCTAATGGATGGGCAGTATTCCATAATAAGGAATTTAGGTTGTAATTTTTTTCTTTTTCCACAATATGCCAATATAAAACAGATCCTTTGAGGCAGAATACTGAGACAAAGTATATGTACGCACATTTTACATTTTAATATATATTGCCAAATTGGCCTCTGAAAAGGCTATGCTAATTTATACTTTACGTCCACCAGTGATAAACCAGAGGGCCCATTTCCCCACCTCTTTTCCAGCACTTCATATTATCAACATTTAATTTTTGCTGACCTAATGGGGAGGAAATAGAATCTCATTGCACTTTTATTTTTCATTTACTTTGTTTGTACTGAGGTTAAACTTCTTTTCTTTTTTGTTTTCTACTTTGTTTTTTAAAAGAATTTAAGTTCAGGGGTACAGGTTCAGGTTTGTTACATAGGTAAAAATTTATTTTCCCATGTTTAATTGACCACCTTTGTTTGTTCTTTACATTTTCTATTTGTATCATTTCCCATTTAAACAATGGGTTGCCTTTCTTATTGATTTGTAGGGCTTCTCTCCATATAATGGGTACTGATTATTTGCTATATATACTGTTTATATCTCTTACTCTGTCATGTCTTTTAATTTTGTTTGCAATGTATTTTGTCAAAAGTTAAATTTGTATAGTCAAAGCTGTTCATCTATTCTTTTATGTGTTTTGGTATTATGTCTTGCCTATATTTTCTTCTAATACTTGCAGAGCTTTGAAATGTTCAGTTCTGTAATTCATCTGTAATTTACTTTTATGTATGGTATGATATAAGAATCTAAATTTTTAGCTCAAATGAAGAGCCAATTGCCCCAACAGCATCTACTGACTTTTCTATTGACTTTGCTCTTTCTAATTTATTAAGTGCCCACATAAATGTGGGTTTATTTCTGGATATGCTATTTTATTTTATTTTATATTTATTTATTTATTTGTTTATCCTTGTGTCAATTCCACGACATTTTAATTATTATGTTTTTAGTATTTGATAGAGAAAGTTCTCCTTCAGTGTACTTTTTCCACTGAAATTTTGAATCCACTGCAATAAAACTATAAATTACTATCATGTGAGACTTTGACCTTTATTAAAGCATGAATCATTGATTACTTTTTAAGCATTGTCTAGGTTTAATGGTTTATTTAAAATGTTTTCTCTTCTTAATTTTGATAATTCATTCGTCCTAGAAAACCATCCACTGACAACATTTTTAATAGTAGAAAGTTGAATATGGTTTTCCCTTGTAACTGTTTCATACCCTAATGCTGTTTATTTATGGCTCCTGATTTCTTTGTTTACCACCTTTTCTTGGATTTCAAACATATCTTCCTCTTTCTCGAATTCAGTTTTTATTTTTGGAAGCATATCCTTGACTAATTACTTCAGAGGAGACCTGTGGAATGCAAAATTTCTTAGTTTTTACATGACCAAAAATACATTTTCTTCTTTTACTCTCTCTCTCTCCCTTGGTGCTCACACTTAGATTCTAATTGGCTGGATATATAAATTCATTTTCAAACTAAGTTTTTCTAATAACTAGTATGACATTGTTCTTTTCTCTTTTTATACTTAGGGATGCACCAAATTTTTTTAAACTTTGATTAAATATGGTTCAATACAATTTGATTCTATACTATTATTTAATATGTAGTCTATATTTAAATTTCCCCAATGGTTTCAATAAAATACTTTCTCATTTCTTTTAAAATGAGGGGTCCATTTAGGGATTATGCACTGCATTTACTCTTTTTTTTTGAGACAGGGTCTCACTGTGTCTCCCAAGCTTAAGTGCAGTGATGATGATAGCTCACTGCAGCCTTGAACTCCTTGAGATTTCACCTTGCTTGCAAATTAGGCTATTGTAGTTTCATGGATGCTGGAAGAAGACATGAGATTTCTGGGTCAGATACAAAGGTTGTTTATTACTCACAGAACAGCAATAGCCAGAGGATCAGCATTTGTGCTGGTTTTTTGAGTCCTAATTCCCACAGTGAGGTGCAAAAGGGCCAAACAGTACTTGCACTCACACTGGGCTGTATGACAG